AGCACATTGTAAATATAATGTGGCTGTGGTGTAGTAGTAGAGTGCTTGCGTCATATACGAGAGGTACCAAATTAAATCCCCACCATGTCCCTTGCTCAACTTGTTTCTCTGCGGCCTCAGTTGTCAAGGTTCGTATTTCAGAGTTATATAGTTAAGAGAGGGTTATAACCACAATAAAGTAGCCTCCTTGTCTGTATTTCCATTTTCAGCCTTGGGGAAATAAATTTACATAAAAAAAAAAAATTAGACCTGCTTTATCTGCCAAGCTTGAGCCACTTTTCTATTGTTGTAAGGTGGCACTTCTTTCTTTTTTCTACAAATACAATCATGATCAATCCTTAAACAAGCTATCATCTCTATTACAATAAACTAAAACTCATTCCTGCTTGTTTTTATTCAACAAGTTGCATCCTTTTTTACTGCTTCTGTCCCTTCATGCTTTAAAAACCTTTATTAATCTAGTTTTTTTCCTTGCACATAAAAAAACCTTATAACTACTAGCCATCTTCATGTTTTTTTTATATACAACTTATAACTTTTCAAGTCTCCAGTTAACCATTTCCTAGTATTTTTACTTATCCTATATTTTAAAGTATCTCATAACTTAATAGTAGTTGCTTGCAATCTTGTTGGAAGTAAATTAGAGTTTGAAAATATATAAATATATGCCAGTATTTCATCTAAGTAAATAATAGTAAATGTAAGCATAAAATTATAATATAAAAAGTATTTTACATTTTTTTCTAGCCCCGGCTATCAACCCCTGCTAAATCTTATAGTTTAGCTGGGTACGGGTTTGAAAAAAAAGTGTCATTTTTAGCCGGGGCCCCGGTCACTCACTAGTTAGAGGTTGGCATCAGGTTAGCAAAAAAAAAATGTTGAAACAAAATTTTTTTACCATAATACATAAAAATGAGGACAGCAATTTTTGAACAACCTCACACAATTTAAAGTTGGCAGCATTACTAAATGTTGACCTTGATTTTGAGGGCTGTATATGTTTATATAAAAATTTATTTTCTATGTTCTTTTAACACGTTAACTGTCGAGCTATTTTTAGCTATGGTTTATTTCTTTGCCGAGTTGTAAACTCTGATATGATTAACTTTTGCCGAGGCTGTTTTGCATGGTTTCATTCCCATTGCCAAAGTTAGATATCAACATTTCAATAATTATAATATTTTTAATCAAATAAATTTTTGTAGTACTTTTTATACTGAATATAATTGACAAAAAATAAGCACTACGAGTATACTCGTACTTTGGCACTGGTGAATAATTTATTTTCTCCAGTGCCGAAGTACGAGTATATTCGTAAGTATTTTTAAGTATAACTCATTGTGGTGACTAACAACGTAGCTTATTTGATGCATTAGAATAGAGATGTGATAGAATAGTTTTTTTGTTTTTTGTTTGCACATGCACATTGGCAGTTATCATGAGTAAAAAAGGTAATTTATATTTCGATTTTTAAATTCTAAGTTATTTTTTTTGGATATAACCTAAAATAAATTTGTAACTACATTTTTATGAATAAAGGGTGAAAAACCTAAGTGTGCATTTTAGTTTATAATGTTTTACATGTAAACTTGTAAAATTTTTTAGTATAAATAAGTAATTTCCCTTAAACAAATATATAACTTATAAATTTATCTATCTAATAGTAGTTCAACGCAGATATTCCGCAATTGAAGCAGCAGAAATAGTTATGGAAGATTGTGGAGATAATAGCACTGAAGAAAGTGATGACAATCAGTTAACAGAAGTTCATACAGCAGTCACTGCAGAACATTTTTTATTGCCTCTGAAAAGAGCTAGAACAACGGGTGGTCTTGCTTACAGACAAAATCAAAATAAAGCTTGGCAAGTAAATCTAAGAAATATTTTGCCTGACAAAATAACTTCTGAAACAAATCCATCTAGAAATTTAAATCAACGGAAAGATGAGCAGAATATTGTTAAGAAAATTAAATTTACTGCCACTCCTGGTTTGAAGATTAACATGGAAAGCAAAAAACCATTGGATTTCTTTTGACTATTTGTTACAGAAGAGCTTATAAATAGTATGGTAGTTAAAACTAATTGCTACGCAATGCAAGAAATCAATAAGCAGCGTCCGCTTAGAAGAAGCTCGCGTTTTAAAAATTGGAAACCAATAAATTCAGAAGATATGCGGCAGTTCCTTGGTGTTCTTCTTCATATGGGATGTGTTAAATTGCCATCCTTTGAACACTACTGGTCTAAGAACAGTCTCTATAGATTTCCCTTATTTTCTAGAATAATGCCAAGAAATAAATTCCAACTAATGTTATGGTTCTGGCATTTCATTGACAATGAAGATTTGGATGGTGGACGCTTGTGTAAAATTATTGGACTTATTGATCACTTAAATAATACAATGGACAACATCTACTGTCCGAACAAAAATATTTCAATCGATGAATCAATGATGCTTTGGAAGGGATATTGTATTCAGACAATATGTTAAAAATAAAAGACATAAGTATGGTATCAAGTTCTATGAGCTTTGCGAATCGGATGGTATTGTGCTAAAAGTAAAAATTTACTCTGGTGAGACAACTCTCGATAAACATTTGTTGGGTCAAACTGGAGCTATTGTTTTAGACTTAATGGAGAAGTTTCTAGGAAAAAGTCACCTGTACACCGATAACTTCTACAATTCCTTTGAACTAACAAAGCACATGATAAGTCAAAACACATACATATGTGGTATGTTAAGAACTGACCGAAAGTCAAATCCAAAAGAATGTACAAAAGCTAAACTGAAACGGGGAGACGTTATAAGCAGAAGCTGAGAGGCTGTAGTGGTTGCGAAATGGAAAGATAAAAGAGACGTGCTAATGATTAGCAACTTGCATTCGTTACAAATGATTGAAGTAACAAACAGGAGAGGAGAGAAGAAAATGAAACCCAACATTATAAAAGATTATAATCAATATATGTCAGGAGTAGATAAGGTGGATCAAATGGTATCATATTATGATTGCCTAAGAAAAACAGTTAGATGGTATAAGAAAGTAGCACTTCATCTCTTTGATATTTTTGTGCTTAACGCTTACTGCCTAAGCAGCAAACAGGGAGTAGATAAAACAACTTCTTTGCTTAAGTTTAGAGAATTAGTTGTTACGGATTTATTGGGTGATTGCTTAAATGAAATTGTTCCTCGAATCACCAATAATAGTCTCCACTACTTGTCTTCGATACCGCCGAATGAAAAAAAAAAACTGCCTACAAAACCATGTCGTGTTTGCTCTAAAATAAAACGAAAAGAAACACGATATGAATGTGCTGTTTGTAAAAATAGACCTCCGTTATGCGTTGGCGAATGTTTCAGAATGTATCATTCAAAAGAATAGGTTTACAATTTAATTTTCAAGAATTAAAATTTTAAAAAATTCAATACTTTACTTCTATTTGTTTAAAAAAATATTTTTTTTTTTGTATTTCAATTACATTCCCGGGATTTTTAAAGTAAAAACTTATGTGTATTCTGTTATGAGAATCAACTGTGAAGCTAAAAAAAAAAATTAAAACTTAAATAGATAAAGCCAATCATGCACAAATATTATTTGAAATAAGTTAGTATAACTACGAATATTCTCGTAGATGGCAAACTCAGGATGCCGGCTTGCTACGAGTATACTTGTAGTTGGCAAATATCAAGCGTTTACTTACTACAAGTATACTCGTAGTTGGCAAATATTAGGTGTTTACTTACTACGAGTATTCTCGTAGTTGGCAGCGAACAGGTGAAATGGAAAAGGTTAAATCAAAAAAAAGAAAAAGATAGTGTTACACAAAGAAAAAAGATACTGTCTAGACGATAGGTAAAAAGAGAAATTCTTTTTACCTATAGTCTTTCTCCAGAATTTATATATAAATACAAAACAAAATTACTTAATTAGTTAAAAAATGTGTTGAAAAGAAAGGGGCTATAGATATTTGACATTTGACAAAAACATGTAATTTTGATGAACTTTACTCACTTATATCTTTTTTGATATGAGTAAAATTAGGCAAGAACCTTGAGGCTTTTTGATTCAATTAGTTTGACTCAACCTCTTTCCAACCGAATTCAGAATATACTAAGTTTTATAAGGCTTCACTTTATATATTATTCATATCTTGAGACCATTATTGATAAAAAAATTACCATGGGAACACTTATCAAAAAAAGTTTTGGAAGATAAAGATTACTAAGTACCAAAATACAACTTTGTAACATTTACACATAATTTCTTAGTTCTCAACATTTAAAAACTTTAATATTGGTTTATAAACACTTTTTTTAAAAAGGTTCACTGTAAAAAAAGAAAGTATAGATTTTCCTCTATTTAAACTAAGTATTTTTTTGTTTTTTTGAAGAAACGGTACTTAGGATTTTTGTGTAGAAATTATGTATGTTATGGTTTTTTTCATTCGCGTATTTTTTATTTTAATTTTTAATGTTTTCCTATTTCAGTATCATTTTAAAGCAAATTTTCAATACAAAAGTAATAGACATTTTGTCAAAAAATCATTAGTTTTTCACACACAAAAAATGCAATAACTTTGGACCCACTTAACTTCCGAAGATGAAAGTTTTTTTAAGTTCTATACAATCATGTTAATCATATTTAAATATTTCTGAAAAATCTATAGAATAGCTATTGTAGGAAACACTTGGGGCTTAATGATAAGACTAAACTTGTTTTCTTCTAGCCCCTGTCATTTAATTATTTTTTATAAGTTATGAAAATTTTTTTATCAGTAAAAGTGTAAATAAATACAAAAAAGAATAAAAATTCAACGTATCATATTATATTACTTATTATTGAATAAATATAATTTTACTGACACTGTAAGCATTTGTCACATGCATTGAAAAAGATCCTAATTTAATACTACATAGTCAAATTTTGATAATAGTATTAAAAGCATAAAAACTCTCTTATTACATTGTCACTTAAAATAAAAACAGAAGTTTTAATAAAAATTACCAAGAAGTTTATTATAGTATATATCAATTGGTATATCTTCATCTGAAGGCATTTTTTCACTAATGCTAAACATAAAAATAAATTAATTTTATAAAAAGTAAAATTTAATAAATATTATTTAAACTAAACAATCTTTGAACTTATAAAACAGATTTATTCTAAAAAATTAAAAGTTATAAAACATAAGAAAGAAAAATATAGTCAACAAATATAGTTATATCCTAAAAAAGAAGAAATTTTTATTTAACCAATAAAAGCAGTATTATTATTGTGAATATTTTTAATATTATTGTTGTAAATATGAAAGAAAATTTCGTAGAAAAACATTAAACTGTTTTTATATAATTTTCAGTTAGTAAAATAAACTTGTAAAAATTTAAATTAAATGGTGACATAAGTTTTTAAAACTGATTTGAAATTAAAAAAGAAAAACTTATTTTATCTATTCATCATATTCAAATGCTTATTCACATTTGTTTTTTAAATAAAAAAATTATTTAAATTTATTTTATAATTTTTTTATCTTTTGTTATGCACCATTTTTAATTAAAACGTGTTTTACCGATGTTTGTAAACAAGTTTTCAGTACGTCTTTTTTAACTTGGCACACTTGCAAAAAATAACGAAAAAACTACTCAGGAATACGGCTATAGTTTCGGGAATACAGCTATATCTTTTTAAGATGTAATTGAAAACATGAAAATTGAAATTTAGAAATCGTATTAAGTGATTGAGAACCGCGACGTGTAATATAGAAATCGTATTATGTAGTTGAGAGTACAAAAACTTTAATTGCAAATGCACAATTTAAGATTGAATTAAAATTTAGGTTATTATAAAAGATCCTCTTGGATATAAATTTTAAGTGGATAATATCAACAGGGTCGATATTATCAACTTATTTATATTCATACCGTCCCGAAGAGGGGACGACTAAATAAGCACGAATTTCATAAGTGCGAACTGGCATAAGTACGAATGGCGTAAGCGCGAACTGGCATATGTGCGAACTGGCTTAAGTGCGAAGCGTTGCAAAAACTGGCAGAAGTGCGAACTGGCATATGTGATATTGGCATAAGTGCGCCAAAATATTTTGCAAACATTGGCATAAGTGCAAATTGGCATATGTGCGAACTAGCATAAGTGCGAATCAGTTACAAAAACTGGCATAAATGAAAACTGGCATAAGTGCGAATTGGCATAAGTGCGAAATATTAATTTGCACTTATGCCAATATTTGAAATTTTATTCGGCGCACTTATGCCAATTCACACTTATGCCAATGTTTGCAAAATGTTTTGGCTTTCTTAAGCCAATTCGCATATATGCCAGTTTTTGCAACGCTTTGCACTTATGCCAGTTCGCACATATGCCAATTCGTGCTTATGCAGCCTCCCGCCAAAGAGGTCTTCCATGGGGGAGGGGAGTATGTATTTTTTTGCCAACTAGAAACACCAAAAAAAAAAAAAAGGTCCTCAATATTTGCAATTTGCTAACTATAGTTCAAAACTTGCTCAATGTGCCAACTCAAATGCTTATATAACAGCTTTGGGGGGTGGGACACCAACACCCCCTTTTGGGACGGCCCTGAATATCAAATTTAGCCTTTGTATGAGCTAGTAATATTAATGGAATTAAACGTAAATTTTCTTTTCTACCCCCTCCCCTCCTTTTTTATTAATGAATATAATAGAGAGTTTTATGCTGATCAAGATTCATATAAAAACATAGACCTGAAAATTAAAAATTTAATATTTAATTTAATGTTGAAGTATTAAAAAAATACACAAAAAACGCTTGTATTTTTAAAAAACATGACTGTAGTTCATCATTACGCGGTAGCATTGTTAAACTACAGTTAAAAATATTTTATAATCCGGTTAAATATTATTCCGATCAACCATAATGTTTGATGATCAATGCTACATTGAATATAATAAACCTTTTATAGAACAAACAAGAAGATGTGATTGAAGAATCTCGTTCAGTTTCGATAATGGAACAGTTTTTTAAGTACCTTAGGAAAAAAAAACTGTTCCATTATCGATTAAACACAATGAAATTCAGTACCCTTCAATTGTTAATTATGCAAAAACTACTTAACAGATTTTTGTAATTTTTTGACTCAATAAAGATAATTGAATTATTTATTTCAATAATTTTTTACATTTTTATCGGATGTTTAGATAGAAACTGAATATCTTTGCGAGTACTTGACATCATTTACTGGATCTTTTTTTGAGTTACTTTTTTGAAGCACCTCTCCATTTTTTATTAAAATCTTTTTTATTTGTTGCTAATATTTTGCTTTTCAATAAGATTCCTTTTATAATTGACCAATAACTTTCAATAACTTTCTGCTCAGGACAATTTCGAGGATTTGCTTCCAAATCCACAAATTTAACGCCATTTTGTTCATACCATTCTAGATTTCTTGGAGTAGTGAATTGTAGTCAAGTATAAATAGTCATGCCAAAATATTGTGGGCATTTCATGCTTTTTAATAAATTGCAAAAGACGTTTCTTTAATCATTCTTTTTTATATAAATTTGCGTTCAAAGTTTTACGAGTAATGTATGGTGTACTTTATAAACCACAGGAGCAGATTGCTTGCCATATAAGGAACTTGGGAGCAAATTTTTCAGCTTAAATATGCTTAAATTTTTTGGAAACATATCTACCTTTCAGCTAATAAAAATATTGCTGCCCTGGCAATTGTGAAAAGTTCTTTTTGCGATAGATTTCATTGTCTTCTATTGTTCAAAGTTTTCTTGGTTTAAAAGTTTATATAGCTTTTTTGAACGACGAATTGTTTTAATTTTTCCATCAATGGATCGCTTTGGAGTTTTCATTTTTTGATATGCTTTATATTCTTGAGATCTAAGTAATTTTCCTATCCTTTCCTTTAAATTTTCTCGCGCTTGGCTGCATTTAAATTTTCTCGCAAGATCTTTCTGCGACTGACACGGATTCAGCTTTATGGAGCGAATGATTGATTTTGCTTTATATCTATACTTAATATTTTCTTTTTATATTTAATTCTTTTTTCAACTTCCTGCTTCTCTATCAATAGATTAATTCTGTTTATATCGCCTCAAAATAAATCCAACTGATGATCAAGAAACACCGGTCAATTTTGAAATGTCAACTTGTGACAATGAAGTATTTTGAAGAAAAATTTCTAAAACTTTTTTTCAATTTAATATTTGTTTACTCATTTTAATTCGATAGCAATGATAACCAATACTTATTACCATTACAATCGAATAACAAAACTTTAGCTTCCTATGCAAAATATTAAAAAAAAATTGTAAAGTAGTTTTTGAGTAATTAACAATTAAAAGGTGATGAATTTTATAGTGTTCGACCAATAAAAGAACAATTACTGGAAGATAACAGCAGGATACCACTCAAAATGCGAATTGTTGATTGCTAAACATTCCTGGGAGAATCCATCAAAGAGAGACAAGAATGTTTAAAGCAAATTGAGAAAGAAATAACAAGTTTATAGCAAAAAAAATTTGAATTTTCCACATTTATCAATTCAATTTGCACAAGCAAAACTGGATCATGAGCTGAAGATGCACAATAAATGCGTAAAGCAAAGAAGATGTACAATAAATTGCGTAAAGCAAAGAAGATGTACAATAAATGCGTAAAGCAAAGAAAATATGATCCATTGAATGAAGTTTTTGACAACTTTGCAGACAAAAGATTGTTCATCTTCAGATTGAAAGCAAACAACAGAGAAGGCTGTTGTTTAAAAATCTATCTATCCATCCAAAATAAGAAAAACGTCGTTGAATTTATCGAATCAAAATTTAAATTGCATTAATTTAAACAATATTTATCATAATATTTATCATATTTTGATAAATGGTAACACTCCTACTAAATCCTTTATTATGAGAGGTCAGCGGTGAATAATAGACCGAGAAGATTTTACATCTTCTCGGTCTATTATTCACCGCTGACCTCTCTTAAAAACCATATATGCAATCAATTGCAAAGTTAGTATCTGTTAAGGTTGCTTCTTTTTATTGTGTTCGGCATCGTCTTACTCTTGCTTCCATTTTTAAATTTAAAAATATTTTTTTTGTCCCTGTATGGAATACTTTTTTTTTTTTTGTTGGTTCTTCTAGTGATACTCTTTCTCTTCTAAACAATGTCCAAAACGCAAAAATAAATGTAGTTGAATCTGATATATCTAATATATAAGCTTGAACCATTCTCCCATTATGGAAAGGTTTCATTTTTTTTATTTTTTATAACTAGTATCATGGTTGCTGTTTAAACGAGCTATCATTTCTAGTTCCATCAACCAAAACTTATTTTCGTTTGACTTCAGCAAAATCACATTCTCTTACTGAATCTGTCCCTGCATCCTCTTAAAACTTTTGTTCATCTATTTTTTTTCCCCGCACTTTAATGCTTTGGAACTCTCTCTTTTCTTCATATTTTCCTGACTCACATAACTTACAATTTTTCAACTGTTTTCAAGCTCTTTAATTCTATTCTTTGTTTTCTAGTAACTCTCAACTTAACAGTGGTTGCTTGCATCCTTGTTGGGACTCGATTAGCTTTAAAAAAATTGACATAAATATCAAAAATTAAATTTTTTGACACACAAAAACCAAGATCTTATCTACTTTTTTTTAATTTCAAGTAGATTTAATTTGTCTTTTTTACTAATTGGAGCAATATTATAGCATAACCAAAACTTAATAACAATGATCATATCAAATGTTTATACTTTTATTTGCTTTATTGCTCGTTTTGTTTCTTTGATACCTAATCTGTAAATAATTAAAATATTATAATATATAAATACTGAAAAATATTTTTATTTTAAAGAACAGCGGTTAGAATAGGTTTCTACCACTTAAAGTTTAAACAATATATATTAGGGTGTCCCAAAAAATAAATTGTTTGAATTTAATATTGTGCACTATGTCAATCCACCTTATTTGGTCCTAGTAGACCACCATAAAAATATCTGGGCCTAGTGTCACTGTTTAGCCGAAGAAGGTGTCTTAGAAAAACTTGCATATAAATTTTTATGATTTTTTT